TCTTTTCTTTCAGAAATCCAAATTGCTTTGATAAGGAACCTGACTGAAGTTGATGCTGAGATGACAAAACAAGAAATAATGAAGCAGATTAACATCACAACTTCTTAAGGCTCCTTCGGATGTTTTAAACGATTAAAAAGCAGGTGAAACAAGTTTACTACCAAATATGAAAACTGATGCGGAGAAGACGTACATTTTTGCCATTCCTTATGAAGGTTTACAAAAATAAGGATAAGCTCAGTTTCAAAACCATTTATGATAAATAGTCTGTTTATTTTGAATATAAGAATAACATGTGTTTCAGCAAAATGAACTAATGAAAAACTTGAAAAGGAATCAATAATAATTAATTCAAATAATTATATCTTGATCTAACTTCCAAAGAGAACTGAAATTTATTGTTACCTAGCAGACAGAAATCTGATTATTTTTTTACTTGTATTCTATTACCACTACAAATGTTGAATGGTTGGAGTCGGTTAACAGAAAAATACAAAAGTTAGGTTTCTTGGTGGACAGTACTCAAGAATTAGTCACGTCTTCAGTTTTGAGAGAACGGATTAATTCATTAGTGTTTGAATCTGGAGCGGCACTGGACTTGAATATATATGTGCATATCTGTATGAAGAAAGAGAGGTGGTGAAGATTTATGGTACAGGAGAATTACTTTAATGGAGTCGCATTTTCTGAGTTATGTTGTTTACAGTTTTCTGAAGTAACTTGACCAACACAAACTTCGACAATATATACGTATATAATTTTTGCTGTTCAACGAATCAAGTCACTCAAAAACAAAATGAAAAAAACGTTAAATTGTATTTTATGCATGATTGCACTGTTTAACGGTAACACTAGATTTTTCTTTTTACTGATACTGGAGATATTGGTCAAATCCAACATAGTTATTTAGTTATTACTAGTTCAGCTAATAATGAATCAAGACATTTAATATAAAAATATCATGTATTAAGAATTGACAAATAGTCAGTAAATCAATATTAAAATGAAACAACGTTTAATATCATGAAATAGTCATGGAGGACTTAAAGGTATCATTTATTATAGATTGATATTAACCAAAGAAATATTCCCATAATAACCTCAGAATACAGCACAGTTGTTTCCATGTACGTCAATAGGGGTCGCTGATATAGTGAGTAAAGAGTAAGAGTAACATACGAAATTGAATAGTTTGTCTTTGACAAGTAATCATTTTTTTCATAAGGAAGCTATTTCATAACTTAGTAACTTAATTATCGATGGTCAGTTTTATGATGTTGTAAATTTATGCTCATACAGTAAGTTAATGATGAATTAATGTCAATGACTACTCATTGTATTTTGTACAATTCTGACTGTTGATCAGTGTAAATGAAAACTATATCAAATTGAGCATATTCATAGGTAGTTTTAAAATTTAGTTTAGGCTTATAATCAATCTATCATCGTGTTCTTACTTAAATCAATCGATTCATGATTCTCTTATTGAAGTATCAATTGTTTGCTTTTTTCAACAGTTCAGTCACATACTTACACGTTTGAAAATAATTGAACTCAGAACTTTTAAGTTTATTAAATAGAATTACACTTAAAGATTATTAAGACAACATCTAAAAGTTGATATTTCTCAATTTAACTAAGTTCTGAAAAGTTGCTATCATTAATTTGATATCTCTGGTAATAATTCTATCGGTTAGGAGGATGATACACCTTTTTTTTCTTTCTCTACCTCACTCATGAATTACTTTAACTGATTAAATAAAATGGATTACTGGGTGAAATAATGTTTAAACTATTGTACTTAAGAAAAATAACTCAGTCAAATCTATCTACCTTAAAGAATAAGAATTTAAATGAAGTATTCAAAAATAAATGAAGTTAAAGATATGGTAGAAGAAAATTACTAGACACTAAATAGTTGATAGAAATATATAATAAGCCTTGAATTCATGTATCATATTGTATATTAATAATGTTTATCTTCAATTCTAATTGAAATATCGCATCAACAAGAAATGAAAATCTATATCAATGTCATAGTTAAATAGTTTCTACTACTGAACTGTTCAAAATAGTAATAATAACAAATTTAATTGGTCAAAAATGAGTTATGTCAATAAATCTATTCCCTAACAACTGATTTACCCCAACATTCAAATCCATTCAACAGTAGTATACTTTATAGTCATACATATATGGTTTTAATTGAAAGATATTATCAATATGGGATAGATTTTTCTATATAATAATCTTATGAATAATCACTATGAAAAAATGTTGACCTAAATCATTAGAGAAATTCTAACCAAATAAGTTTGAATATATAACTTTAGTGCTAGTTGTAATTTTAGTATTGAAATAAACAAATAAACAAACTTAGTTGTTGATGTTATGATTATTTAAATTAACTTAATGATTGACATATTTATAAAACATGTTTTCTATGATGGAATAATGTTGATGATTGATTCATTTATTCATTAAAAGGACTAAAGTATTAGGTGTCGTTGAACTAGCTTATTGATTTATGTAAGTATTGTTAAAGTTCCCTATTAACTTGACCTACTTCTTAATTAATGTTTATTTCTTTTTTTACTGATGATTTTTATGATACTTTTCTTTCAATAGAAAGAGGTATATACGTTACTTTACTGATTAACGGGATAGGATAAAGCATCATTCATTATTACAACAACAAGGAGATAGAGACTAGTTCCATAATGTAAACAAAATAATTTGAAAATAGTGAGAAAAATGTTAAATATACATTTATTTATTAAAAAGAAAGTAAAAAATATGACGCTTAAGTGATTAGTTTGACTTAAGATTAACGGTATTTGAACCTTGAGTGGATACTGAGTAATGCGGGTCTAGACTCTATGGGAAACATCAATTCCTTGAGGATTTCAAGTACATCTAGCTGCTTAGCATAAATGAGTATGAAGTCTAAATATAAGGTTTCCTGCCTATTTCCTCCAGTTGCCTAATATTCTTAAATCGTTCACATGATATAAACTTCTTTGGATTAGTGGTGACATCGTCATTTGATCGACAGAATTCTATTGCCAGTAAGGACTAGATAAATATGATATAGATCACTATCTCTAATCATTTAACATCTCATTGCTATTATTTTGAACCTTTTCCTATTCATTCTGTCATATTGGTTTCCATGTGTTGATCTAGAGTCTTAACTTTAGCTGCTGCATATTTTGATCATGTTCTACCTTGTATATAACTGGTCGAATGAGTCATTTTTGATCAGTTCATAATTTTAACGAATTAGTTAAGTTTGTAGTTTTCGAAAAATTGCCAGTACTTTCACTCCATTAATTCTTTGATCGAATATTCTTTTCTAATCACAGTAATATGCAACAGATCAGATTTACTGTTGTTGACCTTTCAGATTTGGTATTTAGTGCATTACAAATGATTATTTAATGTGTAGTTTAAGCTCATGAAGAACAATTATGAATACGATTAAAATGAATTGTTCATAAACAACTTTAGATTACTGAATAGTATTTAGTAGTATAACTTATTTAACAAAAAATACATGGGTGAAATTATTCAAATTTCAAAGTCAATGATATCATGATTTTTTAATTATTTCATGATGAAGTAATTAGGTAGGGAATTTTCGGAACAAATCATTCAATCATCACTGATTTCAAATTGAAAAAGATGAATGCTTGGCACAATCTTTTCAAGTTGAAGACACATCATCTCGAGTACTTCAGCTATGATGAACGTATGTTATTAAACTGAATGAATAAATGAAACCTTTCGACTTCAGTGAATTCCGAATCACCACACAAGAAGTATACAAATATGTGTTTATGTGGACAATCCCGCTCAGAATCATCTAGTTTTATTTTCTACTACCAACAATGCAATGTAAAAAATATTGTTCTTCGTTCAACTTCATGAGTTTATTGAAGGTAGACCACCATGGAACACCTGGAAACCTGGAAACGGCCGTTCAGTACATCCAGTTTTTCCATGGTGGTCTAGCTTCAATTGACTCATGAACTAAACTAATGAAATCATTTTTATTATATTAATCAATTGATTATGATTTTGCATTAATCTGATCATTTCTGTGATTATTAACTAGTGAATTTAAGCAATGTACAAATGAAATGAACTCGAATCTCAACGAATTCCTCTTACGTTGCTATCAAATAAATTTTCATTACAAGATTTATTTTTTGGTGTAGTGCGGACTACGAGATAAAGAATCTGCGGTGGCCTGGAACAAATGTGTTTTTGGGAACTAGAATGTTATTACGTTTAACATATCAAAAACATAAACTGTTTATTTAGTTATTCAATTGAAAACGTTTACTTGTATTTTTATTTCCTATTTTTATGTCTAAAAACGGATACTTTGGATTGTATTGAGTCCCATTTTATTAGAACGTAATGACAGGAAATCACTTGTACGATTTCCTTCTCCATCTCCAGTTCAATTATTGATTAATTAACCTATATTCCTGATAGGACCGATAACCTTGGTACCATTTGATACCAACCAGTGAATAACAACCAAGAAGTCAAAGCCTTTCAGTTTTTGAGTTTCTTGTAACCCAGTGTTCAATTAGAAGAAGAAAACAGAGAAGAGATCAATTCTCGATTGTACATAGTTCACTGATGATTCAAACTAATGTAGTGAAACAACTGAAATGTCTGGCCACCCAGTAACATAATTAGATTAAAATATATACATAACTTAGCCATAAGTGATACAAGATTAAAGTAATAGATGAATAATTAATTAATGATAAATCTGAAATAATGATTTATGGATCAAAAGAAGAGTAAAATTAGGAGAATATAAAATACATCAGTCAAAAAGTCTACTAATTATTTAAATTAAAATAAAAACGATAATACTTTTTGTAATATTCTCAAAAGTAATATTGATGTACTATTCGTCTCATAATATCATAACTTTTAAATTATTCTATTATTATTAAGACAGAAAGAAAAAGTCTTTTTTATATATGCAATCTATGACTATTACTCATCTTCGTTCTTACTACTAATATAGCAGTAGTAGTAGTAGTAGTAGTAGTAGTAGTAGTAGTAGTAGTAGTAGTAGTAGTAGTAGTAGTAGTAGTAGTAGTAGTAGTAGTAGTAGTAGTAGTAGTAGTAGTAGTAGTAGTAGTAGTAGTAGTAGTAGTAGTAGTATAATCGTAATCCATTTATTTTATTTCCTTAAATAAAAAAAGACAAGAGAAAGAACTTTGTAATTAAGTCCTAAACAATTTTATTTTTAAAAAAAAGAAATCAAAAATTGACATGAGTCAATCAAGTTTCATTTAGGATATAACTAATTCTGTCAAAATTGACGTTTAAAATAAAATACCGTCATTTCTTAATAGAAATAAATATCATGTTATATGTTCGTACATGAATGTATGTAACATATATAAACTACTTATATTCCACAAATAAGTAGATATACATACAAATATACATTTAATACATTTATTCACTATTATTCTTGTAGAAACAATTGTAGATAATAAAAACAAAAGAAGAATCTATAACTTGTATCATAGATTACATTTTATTGTTGATGGATAGATGTGTATGTCATTCTATCAAAAGGTAAGTCATTGAACGTGTAAATGAAGTGTAAACATCGTCAATCTAAAATTTATTTTATTTCTATTTTTTTTTGGTATATTTTGCATTCATTTTCAGTGTTCATTTATTTAAATTAAATTGAATAAATAAAGTTTTAATATACTATAATAAGATTATATATTAAATGTCAGCTTTGAAGTCTATGGTAATTGGGCTTTTGTATAGATGCTTTTGTACAAGCATAGATACATAGTATATATTAGATTTAATAAAACACCACATGTTCAATAGTAAATTTGATTAACTTACTTGTAAATTAACAAATAGAGAAATCTAGGAAAACGACCATCATTAAAAGAGAAAAAAGGTAATGAAACAACAGTGAAAACAAACAAACAAACATACAAATATTAAGAATAGACGCTTATAATCATTATAAGGAGTATTTACACAATGTACTGTGTCAATCAAATAGGAACATTTGGAAAGAAGGAGAAGAAAGAAAAAAAAACGATAAAGGATATTCAAAATATGATTTTAAAAAAATCTGAAATCCATGGAAGCCACAAAGATTAAAGTATTGCAAATAGAAGTATTTAATTTAATATCAGTATAAGGTTGTGGAGACTAATAAGTTTTTGATTGAAATCATGAACTGACTGATGTTAGACCACCACTGAAAATCTGGAAGCACTGAACAGCCGTTTCGTCCTATTGTGGGACTAGAAATCTAGAGTCTAAAGGTTAAGTGTTCGCACGAGAGACTGAATGCCCTAATGAGGAGTCCTATAATAGGACGAAACGGCCGTTCCGTGCTTCCAGGTTTTCAATGGTAATCTAACATCGATCAGTTCATGATCTCAATCAAAAAATTTAATTTAATTGTTCATTTTTTCTAGTTAGAAAAACAATATGATTTTTTATTAAGTATTTTTTTAAAAGTATAGGTTGATAAGATCTGTGCTTGATCTAGTATTTTACCAAAGTAGCTTTCATTATGAACCTAGATCAGCTGAAGGATTACTGAACATAATCTTAGTGAACGATTGTCTATCAGTATACATTCACTAATGTCAAAAGACTATCTGATTGTGAGTCATTGAGTTGTCATCTGTTAGTATACAGTTTCAATGATTAAAGTGAGAGATGTCATTGATGAACAGTTAGAAATGCAACAGAATTACTATAATAAGTAATTAGATTGAAAGTGATATATGAAATAATAATTTCTAGACTTGTCCAATATATACTCTAGTAGTTAAGAATGGACCAGCATACACGAAATAAATAAAGTCATCAACTCATACGAAAGTATTATACTGTCAACAAAATTAAGCTGGTTAAATGTATAGTGTAATAATCGTTTTCCAAGTACAATAACTGTGTGAAGTTAATTTTTCTCAAGTGAATGGGTATGGCTAGCTTTGTTGTTATTCATTGGTTTAGCTAGAGTTATTTCTGTTTCCCTTAGAAACATTATCAGGTCTATGTATAAGTTGGAGTTATTACTCATGTCAAGTTATATTTTCAGAAAACATGGATAGACTCAACATTCAAACCTGCTAAAAACAATAATTTATACTATTGTTGTGAACGAGAACACAAGCGGGAACAATCGGATATATTTGAACACAAAATTACAGAACATCTTCGTAGAATCTGCGAACCATACAGTAAATACTTCATTTGCAAAATGTCAATTAATTGTCTCAAACCTGACTGTTCCTTTTGCAAATATCAATCAATCATCTCAGACTTCATTGTCTCTGCATTTACATACCAAATGCTTTCTGTTCCCGTTCTTTTCTTCTTGATCTTAATCTTCTGCTCCCAGACATTTTATTCCTGGTTAGCATTATATACTACTTATGACAATATAAGTAGCACACGCCACACTATCAATATAGCAGTACATAAGTGTGTTGTACGATAGCTATGTAGTGTAAGTGGATTAACTAAAATATCACTAAATAGTTAATTTACAACATATTGCTACTACACAATGTTTCATTTAGTCCTATGAATATCCATGAATGAGAACTACTGAAAAATGGATCTCCAAATAAGATAAAATAAACATTTAAAAGAATTTCTGATCTCCAATGATTCTACAGTTAACATCAATCCATGTCAATTATGATCAATATCACTTTTTATAAACTTTACATTTATTCATTTAAAGAAAAACAACTTGTTCTTCAATTTTTTCTATGTATATGGCTTAATGATTAACCATTTTCTTAAATTCAACATTGTTGAGTTATTATGAGTTAGATTTAACTTAGTCAAATATAAACGTTACCCTAATTCATTTCTGTCATAGTGATAAAACAAAAGAGGAAATCATTTATAATCTTCTAGCCAGGGTAAGTTGTATATAAATATATATATGGAGATAAAACATTTAGCATAAATCAAATGGATAATGTCACTTGTCCTCATATACACAATCACTCACGCATTTATCCATTTATTTATTTACTTATCTATTTATTATAATAAGAAACTGTCATAAATGTCATTAATATGTTTCTATCAATATATCTATCTACATATCTATCTATCTATTAACTTTTCAATGCTCAATTGATGTTATTATTTATGAATTTCAAACATTTTTTATTTTGTAGTGTAATGTGTGAAAATTTTTTTGTTTTTGTTTATTAAAATGAAACAAAAGAGACTAAGAAAAAATTATTGATTTTATTGTTGTATAGATACATCATGAATGCTTAAATGAATTTCATTTACATCAGTCTCCCTGTTGTATGATTCGTTATTATGTGTGTGTTTCAATTTCTTTCTTCTAAAGAGAGTCTTTCTTATTTGATGATTAGCGAAGGTGTGTGTGAGGGAGAAAGAGAGAAAGAAACTAAATGTTTATTTACTTACTAACTCAATTGTCAGATTTGAATTGATGATGAGGTTGATACTGACAAATAAGGGAAAGCATTTAAAATCATGTTTTGTTTAGTTTACTGATAATTTTAAGGGTAAAGGTCAAAGACTAGTGTTGTAATTTTTACCAAAGTCTGTTTTAAGTAGATGAAATGCTGACAATACAGAGAATTTTGTTATCTATGAAAATAACTGTAAGATTATGTTTTTCTTTGGATGTTATAACTGGTGGATGATCAACATGTGCAGACAAACGACTGTGTCAGTAGATCACAGTTTACAACTCATTAATCAAAAATGCACGACTGAAATTATAAGTTTTACTAACTGAAAAGTCTAATTGTTTGATATTCGTTTGATGATTTGTCTATAGACAGTAATTTATCCAGGACATATTTGATTCATAATAGCTTAAGACCATTGGTTTAAGATTCAGTAGGCCATAATTCTGGCTTTAGTCAATTCATTATATGAAGAGACAATCAGATGGTGGTTGGACGTAATCGACAGGAAACCCTGGACCCGGGTTTCGTGCTATTTGGCACACATCAGCAAGGTGTACCTATAATCTTGAGGGAACTGGTGCTCCCTGGCGGATTCAATCTCGTGTCACCCAGCTTCACAGTCAGAGACGTTACCACTGAGCTATCCGAGCCGCGACCGACCTCCTGTAGGACTGAGATATGGTCACAATTGATTGATCACTGGTTGGCGATCAATGTCATGCGTGTCTATTCCTTATTAGTGCAGATCGAATGCTATCGATCATGTTGCAATGTGGCCACCAGTCTAGGTGACTCGACACTGCGGGCACTATATATTGAGATTAGACGGTGGTTGGAGGTAGTTGACAGGAAACGGATCTCCAACACCTGATTCGCCAGATGTCACCAATTCATGATGATAACTATCTTCAAAATGAAGAAATACTTACAAGTTGTCGACTCGAATAAAATAAATCTGTTCGACAACTAATTTTTATAGTTGCATTAGTTCAAGGTAGTTGAGTGTACTGATCCGTTTGGAAGAGATGGTTAGTGCAGAATTAATTTGTGAAAATCTTTTGGCATTATTCACACTTCATAATTTCACTTAGTTTGTACATTCATTGTTATTGACCATAAATTGTTTAAGTGAAGCTTGAATTTCTTCGTACATTGTACGTTATATTGATTGCAGTTCACAAAGATTGCAACTGTCGATTTTACCTAATCAATGATACAGTATTATCTCGGATAATATTTAGGATCTTGGGATTGGTGATTATCTTTTATAACTGTGAACTTTTCAAATCAACTGAACATGTAATAATCAACAACTTTCCAGTAACCCTAGCCTAACTAATAAATAAATATACAAACTCATTTTACACGTCTATTTTTGCATAACATTCTTAATGATTCATTATTTGTATTTTTGGTTCATCTCAGTTTACACAAATAAATCTAAATGTAATCAGAAATTTTTATAACCAGTAAAGGTATTCCACCATTTTAATCTGTATGAAATGGCATTAAGTGTCAACTTTAAGATCAGCAGATAGATATTCTGATTCAGAATTATTAAACGCCTATTTTCTTTACTGTCCATAAACAATAAAGTGACTGAATCAGAATATCACTCTGCAGTTATTTGTCCTACCGATATTATTGTTATTTTATTTCTGTTATTTCTTTCTGATTTTGTGTGGACCTACTCACGATACTTCTTAACG